GAAGAGCNCAATGGCTTCACTGTGCCGCTGAAGGAAGAGCAAAAGCTGTTTTTGATGAGAGTGCTTATTCCTTTCCACAAGGCTAAAGGGATGCAGAGCTACCACAGGCAGCTGGCTTATTGCGTGTCGCAGTTTGTGCAGAAGGAGCCCGTGCTTGGCGGGATTGTGGTGAGAGGGATTTTGAGGTATTGGCCCGTGACGAATTGCCAGAAGGAGGTTTTGCTGGTTGGGGAGCTGGAGGAGCTGGTGGAGAATATTGACCCTGATCAGTATAGGAAGTTGGCTCTGCCTTTATGCCTACGGATAACAAGATGCTTGAACAGTTGGAACTCACAGGTACATAGTTTTAATTTTGCTTCTGGCTTGATGATTTTTCGAATATCAAGATTCACAAATTCAGTGTTCTTTTCCCTTGCAAACAAGCAGAAAAGCATTGCTAATTCATAAAAGTTTAGTACCCACTTTTTTAAGGAGTTGCTCCTCTTTATCTGCCAATCATACAAACTACATTATTCCTTTAAGTTTAAATGTCATGTTTTAACTATGGTCTAAAAAAGTGCTATATTGTTTTGTACTCATAGGTAGCAGAGAGAGCCCTCTATGTTTGGAACAATGAGCACTTTGTGAAGATGATATCTGTGGCAATGGAGGAAGTGTTTCCGGTCGTGGTTGAAGGCATGGAGAGGAACTTGAAGTGGCATTGGAGCAAAAGCGTCCGGCAACTGACCGAAAACGTGAAGGTGATGCTTGAAGAAATGGATCCAGTTTTGTACTCCAAATGCCTTGAAGAAATTGAGCTAAGAGAATCCAAGGCCAACCAAGCAGAAATCAAGAGGAAGGAGAAATGGGACAGAATAGAAATGGCAGCAGCAGGAGCAGCCAAGCCTCAGTTCCTCCAACCACAACATTTCTTGTGTGTATACAAAAAGTAGTCCCTACTGGCTTTTTTGGGTTTGGTTTCATACCCACTGAAGAAGGTTTATTATAAACTCAGCTCCTTACGTGTAAATAGTTATTCCCCCTTGCAGATCAATCAAATTACGATGTGCGGTGAAACTTTATATTTTGTGGTTAATGAGGGCTTTAGAAACAAGATGCAACTATTATATTCCCCACATGAAACCAAGCTAATTACTATGTGTATCGCAACGCGGTCGCATGATATTATCACTTCACGTATTATAATCTGGATTGGCAACGAATTAATACTGTACAGTGTAGTATCATAAAATAAAACACATAAGACTTATTATATTAACGCGTAAACACATGTCACTTTACATGATTTCAAGGTGGTGGATGAGAAGGTGGTGAAAAATCGAAATTGAAAGACGAAGACAGGTCAAATTATATTAAAGTTATTACCTAATTATTCTTTGTTTGTTAATTAAGTGCTATATATGGAGACTGCTCAGACTGGCCAAGGATATATTTTCTTGTTGTGAGGATTACAAGGAAGTTGGAAACAAGGCAGGCAGGCCGGCAGAGTTCGAAGGTTTGGGTAGATGAACATACACCGTAACACGTTTTATCTTCTTTTTAAAAAAAAAAAATATATATTTGGGAGATCCTTTCTCCGAACGTATACATGTTTTTGTAGGTCTTATTGTAACAGGTTTGTCTGGAAATATGCGTACCCATATTTTTCCACCACAGCGTGCATTTCGTGTCATTGCTCGCCGCTCTGCTTCTATTTGTCTATAATTTTATAAGGATTTATTTATATGTGCTCTACGGCTTTGAAAGAGATTAAACTTATCAACAACCTTTCAATCAAGTAATTTATATATATGTGTTTCTTTTGATAGAAGGGGTTTCAAGTTCGACTCTCCTCTAGTTACTAAAAAATTCATAATTTTGACCTAATTCTGAGCATATATAGTCATCTTACACTTTGCTAAGCCTTTGAGACTTGCCTAAAATTTGCTCATGCTCTTTAGATTTTGGTTTGATGATCTCTCCTGAATAAATGAGTGAAGGTTACATTAGGATTGAGCACATGATTATATTAATGTGTGTGACATCCACACACACCTTTTTATCACACATTTCTTATTAATTTCTGTCATTTGATCTTCTTCAATTCATTCGATCCGATGGCCGGAAATTAAAAAAGTGTAAGAGAAGTAAAAAAAGGGTGTGTGGATAGCACCTCGTATATTAATAACAATTTTTCCACTCTTGCTTGCTCATTCTCATCGTTTAGGAAGTCCTTTTAAATGACTGAAAGCGTTTTTAGAGAAAATATTTTAAAATCAAACCTTAGTGGAGTTGCAAGTTAATCTTCGAAAAGCACTTAAAGTGCTTTATGCAAGAAGCACATAACTGGTTATTCATAAGCATTGTATACATAAGGAAAAAGACGAATCGAAGTTGGGACTTTCAATAAAACATTATTATTTTATTTTTTTTTGACAATTTTCAATTGAGAACACATATTCAAATAAAATTCGAGATTAATCACGGTACATGTGCATTTATTTCATACATTCGTCATCTATCGATTATCTTTGCAACTAAGAGAATATTATATATGGATGATGAATATATTAAGTAAATGCATGCACAACTTAAATTTTAATAATACATAATCAACTTAATATTCACAAAAATCGAATTCCCTCAATTTTAACTAATACATATAGCTAGTTTGGGATTGTGGTGCTTAAAAAAAAAACTTAATAAAAAATTTGGAACATCAGATATGTTTGGTAAAACAAACAAAAAAATTGCTTTTTAAAAACTGTTGTCAATGATAGTAGAAAAGTATATAAAATCAAAAGCAGGGTTTACCATGTTTCTAAAACAAATGTTTTTTTTTCAAAGCATAGTGATCAGTGCCCGTTTAATGAAATTTTCAAATGGCAAGTATACAACCACATATTTTACAAAATTACAATCTTGACCCCTACATTATTTTCTTGACAATAATTATATTACATTAAATACAATATCATTTTTAGTCATTTAACATATCACAACATTTATATAAAAGTTTATGAAACACTCAAACACTTTTTTTAAGCACTTTTACAACAACAAAAAAGTTTGCCAAACACTCAATAACTTTATTTTACAACTGTTTATTCTCACAAAACAACAAAAACAATTTTTTTTTTTTTTAAATCACAACACTAGCAAACTAGCTCATAATCAAAACTAAAACAGTCCTAATATCTGCAAAAGCAACATCACCCCCCCCCCCCCAAGTTAGTTTTTATCAAACTTAATTTCAAATTAAATTGTACACGAAATTTTAGCCACTAATGCTATTATTTATCAAAAATTTCAAACCAAACTATTCACTAATGGTTTGTTTGCAAGTGCTTTGAAATGATTGAAAAGCGTTTTTAGAGAAAAATATTTTTAGGTTCCAAAAGCACTTGAAGTGCTTCCTGCTAAAAGTACTAGTTATGTGCTTATTGTTGGAAGCACTTCAAAAACTTTTTCAAAATTAACTTGCAATTTTACTAACGTTTGGTTCCAAAAATATTTTATCTAAAAACATTTTCCGTTGTTTAAAAGCACTTGTCAAACGAATCCTAAATTTGATATCCTATTTTACTCATCACCTAGTTACAACGTTGCGCATTGGCAGAAAGCGAAACAAAACGGTGGTAGTTCGATTGTCGTTCATGTTTTGATATTGTTCTTCTCTATCTATACAGCTAACGACAATATGTGTGCGCGCACGCGAACCAGAGCGATCGGGTCGAGCAGGTAAGCACCACCTCTTCTCTCTTACTTAGGTAGAGCAAAACGGTGCGTTTCGGGTGCTATCTTACTAGGGTTCGCTTAGTAGGAGGTTTTTTGTGTACTTCGCGAATTTATTGTGAAATTCAAATTTTGATTGCCAGAAACCAATTTTTGATTGAAGATTTGGTGACATTTTAGATTTTGTTAGGTACAGTAGCTTCCTGGTTTTCTTTACCTAAAAATTCTACATTTGAAAGAAAATTAAGTATTTAGGGATGGGGCGGCTAAGAATTTGTTGTAAGATTAAATTTGAAAAAAAATAAAATAAAATAAAAAATCCAATTGAAAATTTGTTTGGGGGTTGTTTTGTTTTTAATTATTTTGGGTTATGGGTTTTTCATGTGTTGCTGTAGATGGTAGATTTTAGGATTCAAATTGCATGATTGTTTGTACGCAAGCACTGCTGCCATTGGTATATGGATGTGAGTTTGTGTTTTGTTTCTCAGAATTTGTTTCAAATTTGAACTAGGATGGGGGCTGCTTCGTAGTCGGTGGCAAGCTGCTGTTCAGGTTACTATCCCTGGACTCTCATTATTTCTTTTAGATATTAATTGGTTGGAAATTTGACTGAATCTGCATTTTCCTTTCTTTATCTGCCACATTACAGGTTTGGTTCATCGTTCCAGTCATGCTAAACTACCGTTTCGATTCAAACAGTGTAATGGGGCCAAAATCGATAACTGTAATGATGTTTTAGTAACATCAAGAACGGTAATTTTATCTTCTTTTTGTTTTGGATTTTATGATGTGTCCAATTATCTTGTGGATGCTTGCATATTGAGGATAGAGCTTTGCTATCGCAGATTGTTAGAGGAGGAAGAGGGATTCAATATTTGACTGCACGTCGTGTTGGCACCATATGCGCTGCATCTGTGGGAGGGGATCATCATCAATTGAGAATTGATGATGATTCACCTCATGAGCCCTACTTTTTAAGTCTTGTCAAAGAAGCAGTGTGGTAATTCCCGTATCAAATCATAGACTTGTCAATAGCCTTTGTTAACTAAGAGCACAAATTGGTGGTCTTGCCTAAGTACTATTATCATATGTGATAAACAAAACATTGCAATTATCATTAATTGATTGGGTGAAGTTTTTCTACTTCTTTTAGGGGGTTGAGTTTGTTATTCGTTTTTTCTGGTTGAGCAGCCTAGTCAGTTGAAGTACATTGAATGGCCAAGCTTCCGCAACACGGTATGCGCAAAACAAAAACTACATTTGAAAGATGTAGAATTTTGAATCTACTTTGTGACTTTGCCATCTTTTAAAGTCAACCAGTGAATACTTATTTCTCCATCTTTCATCGAGTTCAAAAGTGATTACAATTTATGGTGGTTCAAATCTGATGTTGCTTTATTGATTATGTGCAGCTTAAGACTGCTAGACTTACTCTTGTTCTTGTGGTGCTACTCATCGTGGCACTTTCATCAACGGACTCTGCCCTCAGCTATCTGTTGGCTTTGATTCTCAGGCGAACCCCCTGATCACCAGAAGTGTGATCAATTATCAAAACTAGAATTATGACCGAGCTCATCTGTTGGAGACACTACATTGCACATTCCATGGAACATCGCCCCTTTGGTGTGTTGTTATCGAAACAACACACCAAATTATGTGAGTGCCTTTTTAGCATAATCTGCACATTATCATAGTGTACCCTGTTCATTTAGCAATTAAAGATACTTATCAAACAAGATAGACCTTCACTATTGTTTTATGTATGCTTGCGTCTAGTAGCAATGAGGTCAAAATGCTGGTAATTGAATCATTATAAGCTAATTTTGATTCGTGGTGAGTTTTAATTTTAACCTTTATAGTATTGCTGTTTTAATTTTTTTTTTTTTTTTTTTGTAGTTTTCCATGTTCAAGTGGGATTTTTGGATGAATTTTTTTTTAATTCTGGGTGTTTTCTTTATATCATTAGATCCGATGTTTGGGTGTATGATTTGTTTATGTTTTTCGTTTTAGAACACATTGCTCTATGTTTTTTGGAATTTAGTTTTTGTAAATTTGGGTGTTTTGTTTATATCCTTAGATTTGTTGTTTGGTTGTATGATTTGCTTCTGTTTTTTTGTTTCAGGGCACTTTGCTCTTCGTTTTTTTGGGCTTCTATGTGCAGCTTCGAAGCCGTTTATGCTCAAGGTAAATAATTTCAGTTTTTTTCCTTTTTAGCATTTTCTGCAACAATTTTTTATTTATTTATTTTTTTTTAAGATTTTGGTGTCTTTGTTATGTTGTTTTGGATGGTGTTGGATGACTTGGTGTTTCCTG